TACAGGTGCCCACCACCACACTCGGCTACTTTTTTTTTGTATTTTTAGTAGAGATGGAGTTTCACTATGTTGGCCAGGCTGGTCTCGAACCCCTGACCTTGCAACCTGCCTACCTCAGCCTCCCAAAGTGCTGGGATTACAGGTGTGATCCACTGCACCCAGCCAGTTCTTTCTTTCTTTCTTTTTTTTTTTTTTTCTTTTGAGATGGAGTCTCGCTGTGTCGCCCAGGCTGGAGTGCAGTGGCCGGATCTCAGCTCACTGCAAGCTCCGCCTCCCGGGTTCACGCCATTCTCCTGCCTCAGCCTCCTGAGTAGCTGGGACTACAGGCGCCCGCCACCAAGCTCAGCTAATTTTTTGTGTTTTTAGTAGAGACAAGGTTTCACCATGTTAGCCAGGATGGTGTCAATCTCCTGACCTCGTGATCCACCCATCTTGGCCTCCCAAAGTGCTGGGATTACAGGCTTGAGCCACCATGCCCGGCCGACTCTTTATTTCTTAATATGGCTTCAAGTTACTGTCTAGTACCCTTTGATTTCATCCCGAGCTGTCATTTTTTGTAGGGCAGGCCTACTGGCAATGAACTCTCTCAATATTTATTTATTCAGAAGTGTCCTAATTTCTCCTTTAGTTTCGAAGAATCATTTCACTGGACATAGACTTACTTCTTGGTGGACGGTGTTTTCTCTTTCAGCACTTTAAGTACAACATCCCATTGCCTTCTGTTCTTTATGGTTTTTGATGAGAAATTGGCTGTTAATCTTCTCTCTTCCTGCTCTCAAGATTTTCTTTTTGTCTTTGGCTTTCAGTAATTTAATTTTGTCTTTCTGTGTGGATCTTTTTGAGTTTATTCTACTTGAAGCTCATGGAGCTTCTTGAATGTGTAGATTCATAAGTTTCATCATATTTGGGAAGTTTTTGGCCATTATTACTTCAAATATTTAAAAAATTATTGTAGTAAAATACACATGAAATTTATCCCATTTTAAGTGTACCGTTCAGTGATATTAAACACATTCATAATGCAGTGCAGTCAGCACCACCATCTGGCCTCGTAACTTTCATCTTGGAAAACTGAAACTCTGTCCCCATCAAACACTAACTCCACATTCCTCCTCCCCACAAGCCCCTGGCAACCACCATTTTACTTTCTGTCTCTACCATTTTTCTTCAAATATTTTTGAGTGCTCCATTCTCTCTCTGCTCTTCCTCTGACTCTGCTGTTAAGTGTGCTGTTGGTATGTTTGATGTTGTCCTACAGGCCAGTTAAACTCTGTTCATTTTTAAAATTCTTTTGTTTTTGTTTGTTTTGAGATGGAGTCTCACTCTGTCCTTCAGGTTGGAGTGCAGTGGCATGATCTTGGCTCACTGCAACCTCCGCTTCCCTAGTTTAAGCGATTCTCCTGCCTCAGGCTCCCAAGTAGCTGAGATTACAGGCATGAGCCACCATGCCCAGCTATTAATTAATTTATTTTATTTTTCTGTTTGCTGTTCTCAAACTCCCAACCTCAAATGATCTGCCTTCCTCAGCCTCCCGAAGTGCTGGGATTACAGGTGTGAGCCATCATGCTCGGCCTCTTTTGGCTTTTATGCCCTTCCGACTGGAGTATTTCACGTGACCTATCCACCTGCTCTCTAATTTTTCCTTCTGTCTGCTCAAATCTGCTGTGGGGCTTCTCTAGCAAAATTTTCATATCAGTTATACTTTTCAACTCCAGAAGTTCTATTTGATTCCTCTTTATAATCTCTCTCTTTATTGATATTCTCTCTTGGTTGAGATGTTGTTTTCTTCTCTTTGTTCTTTTGCCATGGTTTCCTTTAGCTCTTTGAGTATATTTAAGAGAGTTAATGGAAAGACTTTGTCTAGTAAATTCAATCCTGGGCTGCTTCAAGGACATTTTTTACTAATTGGCCTTTTTTTTTTTCTGTGAATGAACGGTACATTCTTGCTTCTTTGCATGCCTCATAATTTTTGCTGAAAACTTGACATTTAGAATATTATAATTTGATAATTCTGGATGGCAGATTCTCTCTCTTCCCTGTGGTTTGTTGTTGCTGGTTGCATGGCTAGTAGTTTTTTGTTTTGTTTTTAAGTGACTTTCCTAAACTATTTTAGTAATGACTATACTCTTTGTCATGAAGGGGGTCACTATTCCATTTGCTTAGTGCGCAGATAGTAATTTGACAGAGTTTCTTAAACACCTGGAGTCAAAAGATGTTTTTTTCCCAGTCTTTGTAGCTGGGCTCTGTGTGTTAGTCCACACCCTGAGCGCTCACCTGGGTGGTTTGTGACTCTGCCTTCCCCTTCACTTCCTGCCTTCCCCTTCACTTCCTGCCTTCCCCTTCACTTCCTGCCTTCCCCTTCACTTCCTGCCTTCCCCTTCACTTCCTGCCTTCCCCTTCACTTCCTGCTTACTCAAAGCCTGCAGTTCAGCCAGAGGTGAGCACTGAGAGCTTCTCAGGTCTTTTCTGTGCCCCATCATGGGCATGCGTGGGGGTCTTGTAGACTCCCAAGAATATGTGGAATCTTCCAACACCCTTATTCCCCAAAGTGTCTAATTTCTCAGCTCTTCCTCCCAGGTTTTTTGGGGTGTCCATTGTTTTCCCAACAGATATCCTTTGCCCAGGTGGCAGTGACTGGTTCATTTACCTTTACATGTTCTGACCAAGCCTCTGGTAGCTGCTTCTCTGGCTGGAGGGAATCTGAGTTGGTAAAAGAAGGCAAGCCCTGTGTGTTAGTCCTTCTGGAAGCCATCACTACTGTGCTCCTCCCCTGCCTTGTTCTGTTAGATCTTTGGAGAAAAAATTATTTACCTTCACATTTAACTTCCCCAGGGCTTGTTCCCCCTCCGCCTACCACAGGATGCCCCTGCCCTCAGAACATGACTGGAAAGCCCCTCATCAAGGTCTCCAAGAACTCCCATTCCTAAATCCTGAGTTGGTTTCTATCACTGTGAGTGTGTGTACTACGGACCCTGAAGCCCTAGGTCACTCTCCATACCACTCAGGAAGCCTGTGCAAGACGCTCCTGACCCCCTCGACAGCCCTGTGGCCCCCACTTTCCCTGCACCCATCCCTGTGTGGCCTGTCTCTTCCAGCACAGTTGCCTGGCCTGCGCTCCATCCCCACCTTCCCCATCTGGACGTAAGCCATGCTTCCTGCGGCGGGACCAGCGAGAATTCCCATTAGGAGCCAGGCACTGGGGACAACAGGACGCCTAAACAGGAACCATTTGGTGGGTGTCTGAGGTCTCTGGACAGCGTTGTTCAGTGGGTGAAGGGGTCCATGTGAGCAGAATTTCCCCGAGGGCCGTGTCCCTGTCCAAATGTCCATCCTTGCAGTTTATGGACAGGGAGTGCCTGCCCCAGCCAGGCGCCACTGGGGTCTTCAAGGAGCAGGTGGCCCCACTGCCACCCTCACTCCTGCCTCAAGGGCCAAAGCCACAGCCCCCTATTATGGGCTGACTTGTGATTCCCCCGAATTCACATGTTGAAGTCCTAAGTTAAAATTAGGTCCTATGGATGGGCCCTAATCCAATGACTGGTGTCCTCGTGAGAAGAGGAGAGGAGGGCAGAGACACACACAGAGGGACAGCCCCATGAGGACACAGGGAGGAGACTGTGTCTTCAAGCCCAGGAGAGAGGCTTCGGGAACCAGCCCTGCCACACCTGGGCCTCGATTTCCAGCCCCAGGACTGTGAGGGGCCCCATGTGTGTGGCTCGAGCCCCCAGACCGTGGACTTTGTCACAGCAGCCTGAGCTGACACATGCAGCCCCTCAGGTGTGGGGGTCCTTTGTGTCCACAGAGTATGGCCGAGGCCTCAAAACCCGACTGTGTTCTCCTAAGGCAAGGAGAGTGGGCAGCATTGCAGCCTCAGGTCATGGGGCGGGGGGCGTGGGTGAGGACTGGAGGGGACAGTGTGGCTCTGGCCGTCTGCCTGTCCCGTGGGAGGAGCTAAGAACCTGCCCCCAGGAGGCCTCCTTCTTGCTCTCTGGTCTGGACACATTCCCACATTGTTGTGGGACTCCTCTGTCATCGGCACCCTGAGACCTTTCTGTTCCCATGGGCCCTCCGCCCATCCAGCCCAGCACAGGGAGCTCTGGAGGCCACGTCTCTGTTCTCTGCTCTGCATCCCAGCGGCAAGCCCAGGGTTGGAGCAGGGGGCGTCCTGAGTGTCTGTGAGTGTGCGCAGGAGGCCAGGATGGCCGAGCTGTCTCCGAGTGGAACTCCTGAGCACCGGGGCAGCTGGAGCCCAAGCCTCCATACCCGCCCCCACTGCCCGTCTCCCACCTCCCAGCACAACTGGAGCCTGCCAGCCCCTGGGATAGCCCCAACCCTTGCCATGGGAAGGAGCTGCTTCTACCCACGGTGAGTGGGACATTGGCCTGAGCCATGTAGTGTCTGTGGGATTCAGTCAGTGAGCAAAGCTTTTGGGCTCCACAGGACCTGGGAGGGGAGCCAGACAGCAGAACATGCCACAAGGTGGACAGGAGCTTCCAGGTGTCACCCAAGAGCCCCCCACATCCCCCCGGCTGGAGATGTAAAGAGATCCACAGGGCCCAGCCCCCCAGAGCCAGGCCAGGCCCACTCTGCCCCATCCCGCCCTGGATGTGAAGAGTCAGCACAGAGTCAGCTGGGGCTGCAGAGGCTTTATTGGTGCCCAGAGGCAGAGGGTGACACTCCTGGGTGCGAGACCTGGGTCAGGAGGGCCCATACCCGACCAGCAGAGGGTCGTGATCTGCAGCCAGGAAGCGCCATGAGGAGTAGTCAGGGCTCGCCCACCCTGGGGGAGGTCAGGGAGGAGCCAGTGAGCATCTCAGACCCCACCCCTGGGCTGGGCAGCTGTGGGTGGGGATGCTCCTTCTCTGTGTTGAGCTGTGCTGAGGCTGGGTGGGGTGGGAGGTCAGGGGCTTCCAAGGGCTGGAAGGGAGGTGGGGCCTGAGCCTGGCTGGCCCTAGTGGACATGGCCATCAGCAGCTGGACTTCTGGCCCGAGGAGAGGCTTCAGCAGGCCGGGCGGGAGCACGCGGGGCGGCAGAGGAGGGACACACAGGAGGCTCGACGGCAACAGCTGGGCTGGCAGGAGGAGGTGGGGGCACAGTAGGAGGGCACAGGCACACAGCAGATGGACCTGCACACAGGGCGGCAGAGGAGGGATACGGAGGAGGAGGGTCTGCAGCAGGAGGTGGTGCAGCAAGCCGGCTGGCAGCTAGACTGCTGGCAGCATGGAGAGGAAGTGCCAGAGCAAACAGGCACACAGCAGATGGGTTTGCAGCAGACAGACTTGCAGCAGACGGGCACACAGCAGGACTGCTGGCAGGGGGAGGAGGTGCAGCAGATCGGCTGGCAGCTAGACTGCTGGCAGCATGAAGAAGCCCCACAGCAGATGGGCACACAACACACAGGCTTGCAGCACACGGGCTTGCAGCAGACGGGCACACAGCAGGCCTGCTGACACGGGGAGGAGGTGCAGCAAGCCGGCTGGCAGCTAGACTGCTGGCAGCACGAGGGTGTGCAGGAGCTGGTGCAGCCTGATTGGCAGGGATTGGGCTCACAGGCCGCCTGGCAGCAGGGGCTGGACACACAGCTCACTGGGGTACAGACCAGGGTCAGGCAGGAGGCTGGGGCGCAGCAGCTGGGGGCGCAGCAGGGGGGCTGGCAGCAGCTCTCTGGGCAGTCATCCACCTGCCAGGAGTCAGTGCAGGCGCTGGAGCAGAGGGACATGGTGGACGCGGCCATGCTGGGGTGGGGAGGTGAGCTGGGGGAGGTGTGACTGTGGGAGTGTGTGAGGTTCTTGGGGCTCTCCGGCTTTTATATCCCTCCTGGCCTTGTTGTTCCAGGGCCCACAGCCTCCCCTTCCTTGTAGCTGAGAGGCGGCGTCTGTTATGCTTAGGGGTGTTTGTTTGCTGGTGATATTGCCCAGCTCCCAAATCTCCTTTCACACCTGGGCTATAGCCTGTCACATGTGGAACCTCAGGGGTGGGAGTAGGGGTGGGCCTGATCCCAGCTGGCTTCTGGAGGCAAGGAGGGCTATGGGCATCCGCGGGTGGGATGTGGGTGGGATGTGCCTGGGGCCATCCTTGGTTGCTGGGGCATCGTCCAGCACCTGCTGGGAGGTGCTGGGGCACCACCCGGCAACCTCAGGACACGGGCTCCCTCTGCAGGAAGCCAGCCCTTAGGAATTATTTCGCGTGGTGCAAACCCTTCCTGTAGCATGGTCCTTCCCCCGCTGCACCACACAGGACTCGCCAATTTCTAATCCCCATGGCCTCTGTGCCTCCTGCCCTCTGTTCACTGCCCACCTTGTCCTTTGCTTGGGAGGCAGCAGGACTGTTCCAGGGCCAGGATCGTGGGCTCAGCCTGCTCCTTGTTCAGACACAATGACAGCATCCTGGGCTGTGGTTTTGGGTTCTGAACCTGTGAAGTGGCTGTGCTGGGCAGCAGGCGACCACCAGCCCTCACCACTGCTGGAGCCATCTCCTCTGTGTGCCCGGCACTGCAAGCATCTTTTTCTCACCAGCCCTGCCCACAGGCCCCATCACACACCCCCAGGTCAGCCACAGGCAACTCTCACGGCAGCACGATCTTTGATGATGAATTGTTGTCACCACAGGGCATAATGAAGTCCCGAGCTTCTCGCCTTCTTAAATGGCCCTGATCACTTTCCAGGGACATTGCTACCCACCAGCTAATTATAATATTGATTGTGATTTCACATTTTTATTTAAAAATTCAAGTACACATATGCATATTTCATTGTAAAATAAGACATATTACACGATGTTGAGTAGAATGTCTTTGTTGCTCTGAATCTGGCAAAGCCGGAAACGACTTCTCATTCTAAAAATAATGCTAACCTTCTGGGTCAGACCTGTCCCCACAGGGCTTTCTAAAATAAGACAGAAGCTGACCAGCTATGGCCGGCTGCCACACCCCACCAGTGCTGCCCAGGTTGTAAGAAGCAGGCTGTGGAGGCAGGGGTGGCCCTTCAGCCTTACGCAAAGTGTGGTGTCCCAAGGAGAGAGTCCTCCAACTCTTGTCCCTGGAGGCATCTCCTCTTTGAAGTGGGTCCTCACTGAAAAGGCAGAAGCAGCCGGTAGAAGCACAGGATCACTGGAGCAGCCGGAGAGAAGGTGCAGCAGGGGCCAGTGAGCCCCACAGTGGTGGCCCTGCACATTCCTTCCCCCGTCCCCATCCCTGGAGGAGATAGAGCCCAAAACAGGGATAAGAGGAGCAAGGAAGGAGAGGCCACGTCCCTCCCCACGGCCTTCCCCGAGGCCCCCACAGACGTGCGTGTGGGAGCGCTGGGGATAGGACTGGGTTTCAGATGGGAAAGAAAAGTTTGAACTGGTCCATTTGGGGTTGTGGATTTGGTTCTGCTCTTAAAGGCTATAATAGCTTTATGATGCGCTTCAATCATCGATAGTTCAAGTCCCATTATCAACATTTCTTTTTGTAAAAAAAAATTTGTAGAGACCAGAGTCTTGCTATGTTGCCCAACTGGTCTTGAACTCCTGGGCTTAAGTGATCCTCTTGCCTCAGCCTCCCAAATTGCTGGGACTACAGGCACGAGCCACCATGCCTGGCCCATCATCAGTATTTCTGTGCCAAGTCTCCTAACTTTTCTTGCTGATTTTCTTTGCTGTCCTCAGCTCCCATTATTCAAAGATAAGTTTCATGTGGGCAGGAAGTGTGTTTATCATGTTCACCACTCAATCTCTGAGGGCCTAAAATAATGCCTGGAATAGGGAAGATCCTTCATAAAAATGGGCTGAAATAATAAATGTTTTTGGAGAAATTATTGAAGAGGAATTCTGAGCTCTGAGAACGATTCCACTGTGCCACCTTTTTCTTATGCTGTATAAAACTCTCTGTCAAGTTCTGTTTTCGTGTGTGGGGAATTGGCTTACATCAGACTGGCCATCTAGCTGAGAAAAATTAGGAAACCTGGTTTAACAAACAAAATCTGTATTTAAGGGCACCAGGAGGCACCAAGACAGCTGAGACTTGAGTGAGTGAATCACCATTAGAGGGAAAGTGTACCGAAGTGATTCCAGTATTTCTTGTGGATTTTCTTATTGAGGCATTTACTGATTCACAGACCACAGCCGTGAGGCTGAGGCTGAGCACAGCTTTGAGTGGGTCTCATGCAACTGGAAGACAAAAACAGAGAGTTCAGGACCTGACAAGGGGGAGGGATTCTGGTAAAACAACAACAACAACAACAACAAAAACAGACTTTCAGTTGGAAACAGTGAATATAAGTGAAAGATTACTCCCTAGGATGAAGGAAAAACCAGAAAGAAGAATGAAGCCCACCTTTAAATCAGCTCGTATTCAACTCATGTAATTTGTCCATAGCCTAACTGCCTCCCAGAAACTAAAGTGATCTCTTCTGGAGATGGCAGCATCAACAGAGGCTCAAATCATCTCAGAAATTTTCATGAAGTCCTGGATTCAGTCAAAAATTACTAGGGATACTAGAAGACAAACCAACTGACCAAAGGACCAAGAGGAAAAAACAAACAAGAGAAACAGATACACAGGGCCTTTAGATATTAGAAGTGTCAAACTGGAATTTAAAGTAGTGCTGATTAGCTTGCTCGGGAAAAAATGACAAATGGAGAATTTCAGTGTCAAACTAGATTTATGAAATGGAATCAAACAGAAATTCTGGAAATGAACATAATAGCTGAAATAAAGAACTAAGTAGATTAGCTAGACAACATATTAGACAAACCCAAAGAGATAGTGAAGAAAGGGAGATGAGGAAATGTCAAGCCTGAGTACAGAGATGGGAAAGAAAAGAGGGAAATAAAGAAAGTGGAGTAATAAGCATGTCCTTAGGTTGTAAATAATTATGAATATAAATGGTTGAAATCATAGGAGATGAGTAAAATAAGGGTAATAAAATATATGAAGGTATAATAGACAAGAAGTTTAAAGTGATGAAAAACATTAACCCATAGATGCAAAAAGCATTTAAGAATCTTGAGCAAGGTGAATACAAAGGAAACTACACCTGTGCATATTGGGGCAGAAATCCAAAGACAGAGAAAAATTTAAAAACAGCCAGAGGGAAAAAAAAAATACTACCTTTAAAGAAGCAACAATAACATTTACAGATGACTTCTCAGTAGGAATGATGGAAGCCAGAGGATGATGGAATGATATATTTACTGTCTGAGAGAAAAGAAGCACCCAACTAGAATTCTACACCTGGGAAGAAGATCCTCAAAAATGAGGACAGGAAAATGACGTTCTCTGGATGCTGACAGGATGTGTCACCAGCAGGATCTGCACTAAGGAAAATAAAAAGATAATTAGGCAGAATGAAAATGATCACAGATGGAAGCAAGAAGTCAAAAAGGAAATGAAGTGTAACAAAAGGAGGACACACATGGGGAAATCTAAATGAATATTTACTGTATAAGATGTCTTAGAAGTTGTAAAATATTTATAGAAATAAAATACATGGCAAGAAGATCACAAAATTCAGGAGGGGGCTACATGAAGTTAAAGTGATCTTAGTACACTATACTCTCTGGGAAATAATGTAAGATCTAATTTACATTAGACTTTAAAAAGTCATAGATTCATGTTGTAATCTCCACTAGAGTAATCAAAGAATATACAACTTAGGAGGAAGGAGATGAGTGTAGTGGGTTGAATCTTGCCTCCCCAAAAGTCATATCCACCCAGAACCTTGCTGTGTTAGGCTGGTCTTGCATTGCTATAAAGAAATATTTGAGACTGGGTTGTTTATAAAGAGAAAAGTTTAGTTGGCTCATGGTTCTGCAGGTTGCACAGGAAGCTCGGTGCTGGCATCTGCTCCGCTTCTGTGGAGGCCTCAGGGAGCTTTACTCGCGGTGGAAGGTGAAGGGGGAGTGGGCATGTCACATGACAAAAGCAGCAGCAAGAGAAAGAGAGTGGAGGATGGGAGGTGCTACACACTTAAACAACCAGATCTTGCCAGAGCCCCTTCACTATCGCAAGGACAGCAGTAAGTCATGAGGGATCCACTCCCGTGACCCAGATGGCTCCCCCCAGGCCACACCTCCAACAGTGGAGATCACATTTCACAATGAGATTTGGCAGGGCCATAGAACCAAACCATACCACTCACAATGTGACCTTACATAGAAATAGGGTCTTTGCAGATGTAGTTAAAATGACGTCATACCAGGTTATAGTGAATCTTAAATCCAATGACTAGTGTCTTTATAAGAGAAAGGAGAAGGAAGTTCAAACACACACACAAAGGGAAGAAGGCATATGACAACCAAGGCAAAGATTGGCGTGAGGCAGCTATAAGCCAAGGGACGCCAAGGTTTGCTGGGAGCACCAGAAACTAGAAGGGGCAAGGACAGATTCTCCCTTGGAGCTCAGAGAAAGCCTGGCTCTGTGGATACCTTCATTTCAGGGTGCCTGGCCCTCAGAACTGCGAGATAATACATTTCCACTCTTATAAGTCACTTTTTTGGTGTCATTTGCTGTGGCAACCCTAGGAACTAATATGGTGAACGGAACATGGTGGAATAACAATCTCAAAACACTAGATCCACAAACAGTAAAGCAAGGAGATAAAAGGGAGTAGATTCCTTGCATAAGCAAAAACCAAAGTGAGATGGGAGGTTTAAGCTCAAACGTATCAGCAAAGCCCCACATTCTTGCCAGTCTGCACAGCAGGTATGTTGTTACTTTAGTCAACACAGCTGTATAGAGAGAGTCACTGGGGT